TTGCGGCGTCCAGCGTTCTGTGCCGCAGCGAGGTAGGGACACCCGAAAAAAATCGTCCGCAAGTCGTGTACGACGCCGGCCGAGTCGACCCGAGTTTTAGTAAACTGCCCCGACAGCCTTGTTAGCGGTTGGTTGCTGCTGTCATTCGCTACCACTTGGGCTGCTTCCCGTATACCCCTGCCTTTCATTAAGAGCAAATACGGAGGGAATTGTTAACTTTTTTGAAATATGATTAAGGTGACACTACCCTTGTGCCAGCACGTGAGGGAAACACATTTTGGTAGCAAATGTTGCGCATTTGTTATGACAGTTTCCCCGTATATATTGCAGAAGTGCAACCCTTTTTAACCTCTAATTCTTTTTAGTGGCTTTGAAGTGTCGCCTCGTCCGCCAACACCACCGAAGGAACTGGACGATGAAGACGTGAAGCCGACAACGATCGATGTTGGTCAGCCCGCGTACAAATCAAGTACAGCTTTTTTTAAATCGAATTTGAAAACTTCCTCTTGCTTGTAACATTCCTACGTGCACAGTCGGTGATTGCCAGTCACCTGCTGGAAAACTGATTTCCGTCTAGCGAATCCCGCGCGCGAGGATTGGAGGTGGGGGGAGGGGTTGGTAGGGTGGTGGTTACGTGGCTTGGCCACGTAAGGGAGAGGAAGGAGTTCAGTGATGGGCAGAAACGAGGAAGAATCGTGCTGCTGGTTTTTGCCGCGGGTGCGGAAAGAGCTCGGAGGAGGGGAGGTACACTGCAGAGGGCACAGAAGGGGGAGAGGGAGGGTTGGTGATGCATGAGTATATTTTTTGAGTGTGGGATTTGAGATACGGGGAGGGAGTTGGTGTATATGGATTTGGCATGGATTCGAGGCAAGAGGAGGGGATTGGGTGGGTCGACTGAATGGATATGTGGCGTAGATCCCTCGACCTAGGCAACTACCATATAGGAGAGAGGGGAGAGAGGTGATGAGCGGAAAAGAGGGAAGTAAGGAAAAAAGTAAAAGCAAGAAAAGCAAACGAAAAACCGCCATCAGTAGGGGACTTCCTCATCTATAAAGCTGATGCTTAGGCGAATAAAGTGAAGCTGCGAAGGTAAACCTGAGAGCTGTCAGCTTTTCCTTAGTATCAGATTCATAAATACGGAAGCCCCCCTGCTACAGGCAAACTTCCAGTAAACGAAAAACCCGTTATTAGCAAAGGACTTCCCCATTTATGAAGCTGATGCTTACGTAGAGCTGCAAGATCGAATAGCTAATGCTTAGATGAAGCTGCAACAAACGAAAAACTCGTTATCAGCAAAAGACTTTCCCACTTATGAAGCTAATGCTTACGTAAAGCTGAAAGATCGAATAGCTGATGCTTAGGTAAAGCGGAGAGCTCTCAGCTCCCGCTCCTCTAAATAAGCTTGTTCCGCTCCTGTAACTTACCCCCAAGCCCTGCTTGCAGAGGGGCATCTGGCGCCCATCACCTACCACCTCCCAACTGCTATCACCACTGATCATTCCGTACTCCTCACTAGCCTCCTCGTTCCTCCCATCTGTTTTCGTGTTCGTTCCGCCTTCAAAGCAATTTGTAAGGGAGATGTGAGAGGGAAAGAGAGTTTGAGCAGAAGCGTCTGTATTTTTTGATGAATATCGCTGAATAGTGACAAAAAGTTGTAAATTGTGAAATACATTTCCCTGTACTAAAATTTTTCCTCAGTAGAAAGCCTGTGCTTTATGAAGAGCAAACAATACAAACTTTTTTTTTTCAGCTTCCAGCGGTGAATACCCGCACTCTATTTTGAAACACGCTGGACAGAAAAACAGATTTGATCTGAAATCGATTCATCCTGAAGGTTGCATTTTGTTCTCTGTCCGCCACTAAACCGAATGTCCAATTTTTATATATGTATATGAATTGAAAAACTTCATATTCGCTATCAGTGAGAGGTAGAGGAACTTGAAAAGTAACTCGAGAAGTGGCAAATGCCAACAGCCACCACTCACTGGCGGGGCTGCCGATCACTGCCTCTCGAGGGTCCTTTACAAGTAAGTTGATGATGGGTCTAACTCCTTGACATATACCAGTACCATTCGATGGAACGAATCTTAAAGGAATTGGTACGACCTTCGATCTACAATGCGACAACACTGCTTCTTCACTGCGCCATGCCTGCCGACATATAAAACTATATTATAAACAATTATATAATTTATATACATATATATATATATATATGTATAACTTAAACTCTAGCAAGAGGAATTCTGTGAAGTGTTTGATGATATAAGGATGAACGCTCGGTCGTCCTTCAGGATGAACACTCGGTCATCCTTCACTAGTCATCCTTTCATCTTCTTACACATTCTTGCGAATATGTATGACTGAACTTCTTGCTGTAAATTATGACCTTTAAATGAAATATGTCCAGTAATGACTCACGTCAGAGTTCGTTTGGAACAAACTCGGCGTTTTGTTGGTCGTATTCCATGGATGCAACATTGTTCTGGACGAAACTGTATTAAATGGGACGTGTAATTTGGAAGGGAACACAGTTTTATGCTTCACTGGCTTCTTCCAGTAGGTACTTCAGCCAAGGCCTTGTTTTCATGGCGACAATTCTTTTTGGATGAAGTAAGGGATACTGTATTTGCAACTGGCAATTTCCGCTAACAACGTGGCAATGTTTTTTGAGTAGCGTGGACATAAGACGCACTTCTTTTCGTAGCTCTCGTAGCTTGGAAGCGGTTCAGCGTACTTGCATGCAGCGTACTTTCGCGTGTTTGCAACAACATCCTTCACCGTGCCTCTCTGATCTTCGTATGTCATGAGCAGATATAACTGTGGAGGTCCATATTTTTTGTGTAGAGCCAACGATTCCGGAAAGCAAAATCGCTCTCTTTGATTGTGTAATTGTCGCAGCAAAAATGAAACTTGTCCTGAAAACGACCGTCCGCTGTACCACTTGCAGTTGTCGCTGCGATGGCAGCGTTGTTGTTGTTGTGATGTTGCTGAACAGCTGATGGAGGACACATGGATGGATGGCATTTCGCAGAGACAGCCGCTGCCCTTCTTGGCCGGCTATGCTGTGGGAAAGATCTGAGGTGCTGGAGTGAGCGTGAGAGCGGAGAGGATTGCTAGCCATCAATATCCATGTTTTCTCTTTTCGCCTGGCACCAGCGCAATACAACGCAGTTGATGTGGGGCGAGTTCAAATCGAGTAGCATTAATGGCCGTCTGGCTCGTTGCTGCGGTTGGTCAGATAGTGCTCTTCCCAGGGAGTACAAATGCAACTGACCGAGTGACCAGTGTGCGATGTGAGCGGTATCATTCTTTGTGCTGCATTGGAGACAACACTGTTCGAAGTGCGAGGGCCCAGTTCTGTCGATTTTTTGTGTTCCCCATTTGAACAGTGCTTTATGAAATTATAAAGCACATTGTTTTGAAAGGCATTAAAGAAATATGCCTTTTCGGTTTCCCCTTTCTTTGCTATTGGGATTCGCTGCGGGCCCCATGTTGTTCAGTTTTTGGAGCCCTCCATGCTGAATCCCACTGAATGCTAGCCATTTTCACTCTCTTCTCTGCATCACTCTCGATTTTGTGTGTTTCTGAGGTGTAGCCCACGCTCTGCAGGCTTTGAATTGATTTTGTTATGAAAAAAAAAGCCCTGTGCTTTGTTAATTCAGCACACCGCGTCAAACAGCTTCGGAATGGCATGCTCTGCAATAACGCAGCAGCATCGTTTCTTAGCTTGTTGCCAACGCTTTCTTGGCTAGTGTGCACCGTGCGCTTTGTATGTAGCACTCTTTGATGGCTCGTTTCGAGCGTTCGTGAGTCATCTTCTGCTACCATCACTGAATTACATTTTGGGGGATGGCTATAGAAGTTGAATTTTTTAGGAGCCGTCTTTTCAGCAGAGGAGGTTTAATAACAGAACCTATGCCTTGGCTTCCATTTGCAGAAACTGTGTATTTCATTTGAAAACAAACTTGGATTTGGGGCAGAATTAGAGTATAGAATGTCAAAATGAAACACCGAGATGTCCAGGACTGGTGCACAGGAATAACCTTGTCGCCGAGAAATAAGTAGCAGTGCGTGCTAGAGCATCTGTCAGAGTATGCTTTCGAGAAGTTCTTTTCACTGAATGTTCGTTGTCCGTAGACTTACGTATTCGCTCACTGTGTAAAATCGTTGACACAACTATTATGCCTCCCGGAATTTTCATATCATTTCATTGTGTAGATTTGACTGTTCAGCTACTGCACTTAACAGATCGGATCTGCTGGTACAAATGAAACGATGTTTGAAGCAAAATTAGCAAATTTTGAGCGTATATACGAATTCTGTCTCTTCTGCTTCAGGCATTAGCTCGAGATCCATTGAAGTCTGAAGAAGTTCCTGAACCGTTATAGTGCCAGGACTAAATTCCCAGAATGTTATCTTTCTGCCCTGCACAGCTGTGGTTTTGAAAAGGCGTGACAAATACATAAAAACG